GGTGAGGGTGGGGCCCCATGTGGTGTGGGCGTGGGCCGCTTGTGGCCGGGTCGTTTGTGCGCATGACTGGACGGACGCGCTGTATGCGCGTCCTGTCGTGTCTTTGCGTGTGTGATCGGTGTGTGTATGTGTGCGCGAGAGTATGTGCTAGTGTGTGTATATGCGTATGAGTCATGGGCAATGTGCGGTCCCGCTTCGCTGATCATTTACGGAGCACCTTCCAAACTGCTGGCGCCCCGCTCCTTTCAACTCATCGACTCCCCTCGTGCCGTCCCCCCCCCCCCCCAAAGGCGAGCGGCTTGACAGCGTGACGTCAGCGTTCGTGCGCACCTGCCGCGTCGGCGTGTGCCGCGGCAAGTACCCCAAGGCCCTGGTCAAGGCCTGGAAGGCCTGGGACAAGGCCCACACCTCGGGTGAGGGGGGCGGGGCGAAAGACGCGTGTGCCGCGTCTGGGAAAATCCGCGGCGTCTTGCCCCTACGAAGCGGCGCACGCGGTTGCTGTGTGAGAGTGGGCGGCCGCATCCGCGTGAGCTGGTGTGGGGACCCACAACCAACCCCGGCAGCCGCGGCCGCGTCGCACCCCGCTTTGCCGGGCTTGCGGCGCGCGAAGCAGCGGCGCAGGGACGCACCTGGCGCGACTCCTCCGTTCCGTTGCCTCCCACATGCCTTGCCTCTACCCCGCGTTTCTCGAACGCCTCTAGTGCCTGTCTGCCGACCCGGACGCCCACCCACACGCACGCCCACCCAATCCCCCACCCCTCCACGCGCACACCAACACATACACACCCATCACCCGCAGAGAACGACGCCCTGGAGGGCCTGCCCGCGGGGCAGCTCTTCTGCGTGCTGGCGATGGAGGAGGCGGGCCGCGACCTGGAGGCGTACCGCATCAGCAGCTTCCACCAGGCCCGCAGCGTGCTGCTGCAGGTGGGCCGGCCGTTGCGCGCACTGCATGGCCTGGTTTAAACGCCCGCCCTTCTATTGTCGGTGCCTCTCAAGGTTGTCTGTGGCACTCAGTACGCTCGCCGCACGCTTTGGTTGGTACCCCGACGGCACCGCCCGTTGCTGTTTCCGAGGTTTTGCGCCGCGATCCGCACGCACAGATCACGCTGGCGCTCGCTGTGGGCGAGGAGGCGCTGGGCTTTGAGCACCGGGACCTGCACTGGGGCAACGTGCTGCTGCGCGCGGCGCCCAGCCTGACCACCAGCTGCCGGCTGCGCGGCATGGACGTCAGCGTGCAGACGCAGGTGGGCGCGCCGGCGCGGGCGGAGGGGGGCGCGGGGCCGGAAGTGGAGGGGACGGTAAAAGGGGTGTGGGGGGCTTTCGAGGGGAGGGCGCTCGGACGCCGAGGGACATCCTCACCTGTCACCCCATGACCCGGTAGGGGAGGCTGCCCTGTGATGATTTCGCCGCCTCACACATGACTCTTGCATTTGCACCACCCGACTCCCTGCCGCCGTCCCCCTAAACACACACACACTCACGTAAAAAAATCGACACACACCACACGCACCACCAAACGCCACCACTGCTGCCCCAGGGCGTGCTCGCGACGCTGATCGACTTCACCGCGTCGCGGCTGCAGACGCCGGCCGGCGACGTCGCCTTCTGTGACCTGTCTGCCGACCCCGAGCTCTTCCGGGGGCCTAAGGGCAACTGCCAGGTTGGCACCCAGCCACCATCAACGCCACACTGCCTGCTTGGCTGCCCTTTTCTTTGTGCATTGCCGCCTGGGAGCCCGCCTTCACCTTTGATCAAACCTCCAAGCAGAGGATTGCTCACGTGCTCGCCAGCCCCAAACGCACCACAGCTCCAAAGCCAGCCCTGAGCTATGCATGCCCGCGCTTCCCGCCCACACGAGCCGTCCGCTCCTTCCTGTCCCTCTCCAACACACGCGTGTGCACACACACACACACTCACACACACACACACATGAACATACAAACGCACACGCAAAATCACAACCCTCTCTTTATCGCACGCCCCCCAACATAGGCTGACACCTACCGTCGAATGCTCAAGCTCACGCGCGGCCAGTGGGCCGCCCCCCACCCCGCCACCAACACCCTGTGGCTGCACTACATGGCCGACACCATGCTCAACGCCAAGGCCCCCGCCGGCGCCGGCTGGCGCGCCGACGAGCGGCGCGCGCTGCGCGACTTCCGGCGGCGCGCGGCCGGGTACGGCAGCTGCCAGGAGGCAATTTGGGACGAGCTGTTCGAGGGGCTGTGGGTGGCGCAGGCGCGGGACGGGGCGTGATGTGACGTCATTCTGACATCCTGCTGACCGCGGAGTTTGAGCGGAGTTTGAGCGCACGGGAGCTCGGCTTGCAAGCCGCAAAGTGAAGCTGCTCCACGAGAGTCATGCGCCTCGAGCTGCTGAGTGCGTGCTGCAGGGAGCCGCTGCTTGTGAGGGACGTCTGTGGGTGACACTGGCCAGTCCCGCAGGCAAGGTGTTTGTAAGCGAGTGGTTACATGTGTGATGGCTTTCAATAAGAAAAAGTTGATAAGAGCCTGCCTAGGATTCAAGCGGCCGCTCCCACCAAGCCGCTCGCACGCTCTCAAGCATGCGGCAGTAAGCAAGCACGAAAACAAGCCCTCAGGACGCAGGGAGCAGCAGCACTCTCAAAACTGTCGACAGCAGCAGCAGCGGCGCCTGTAAGGCGCCTGCCGCCCCGCCGCCGCCGAGGGGGAAAAAGCGGCAGGGATCGCCCGGCCTCGCCCCGCGCGCCGAAAGCCCCGGCACGCCGGCCGCCGGCTTGCCCCACGTTGCTCGAAAATCGGAAACACACTGCACAATCGGCGGCGGGAACGCGCACCCCCGCGGCCCCCGCGCCGCGGCCGCGGGGCCATGGCGCCGCCCGCGCCGGCCCGGGGGCCGCCTCAAGGCAAGGAATCGCCTCATGAGGAGAAGCCCTTGCTCTTCTTGGCGGCGCCGCCCCCCAGGCCCACTGCGGCGTCGTCCGAATCGAGGTCCATGATGGAGGGGCGGTCCGCGGCGGTGACGCGGCCACCGGTGAGGGCCTCGCGGCGCTGCAGGATGTAATCCTTGAGCTCGATGTACCTTGGGTTATATTTGGGGGGGGGGCAGTTGTTACGGAGGGGACGGCGG